ACCTTTTATGGTATCAAGTTTGGGCAATTCAACCATAGTGATCCATTCAAAGACTGTATTCAGACAAACCCGTTTATTTACACTCAATAAAACTTTTTCTTCTTTCAGAATGTAAGGAAAAATGTTGTTACCTAATAATGAATCTATGTGGGATTTTTTATTGAAATTAGAATCAGCTAATTTAAGATAATAGATGAATGCCATATCATATTTTTAAAATGAAGTGGAGGGGTTTTCATCGCCAATTTTTTTCATACTGATCAATACCAAAGTACAATAATACTCATGTTACGTTAACGATGAAATCAGATAACTGACCCATGACTGAGCAGATGAATATATTCCTCCTAACCCAAACCCAATTTATTGACTAGAGATCTACTAATGAATGAAGATTGCACCCACAATCAAGCACAGCACGAAGAGTTAGCCACTGATCGAAGTAATCTTCAATTTCAGCATCGCTGTAGATAATAGTACCTACTTTATAATTGTAGTTGAGTAACATTTCAACTCGAGAAAGTTAAGAAATTTTCTCATTATTCGCACGAGAACCTGACGGATCAAGATAATTCGAATTCTGATTCAAATCTGTATTTAATTCATTTCCAAACTGCTATAAGGTAGTATGTGGTCTTTTACAAACTTCACATCATCCAGTAGAAGAATACTGTAAAGTGTTATGAGAAATAGAGCCGAACAATTAATGCATGCTTTATTTTGTTTAAGCGATATCAAATCTTCGCCTAGGACTTTTTTACTTGGAAACTGGACAATGAAAAATAATATGATCAACTGAGCACAAAAAACTACAGTTCTTAAGAGAATGAACAAGAGAAGCTGATTTATTTTGAGCTGAATTGGAACTGATGGATTTTTTGCAGGATGAACTCGAAATAATGAATTTATTTTTATTTTTTGGAAAATTCATCAACTTAGTAGAAGTTTTAGCCGCAGATTCCAGAGCACTACTTCGTTTTTTCAAAAAATGATTGAAGCTCATTATATTTGGGAATTGCATGTGAGGCATGTTTTAGTTCGAAACATTTCCGAGTCTGTGAATCTAAACGATTCAGCAGCACACTTGATAAAATTAAATCAGATTCATCCGTTTACCACCTCATAATTTTTAACAGAGATTTTTTTTTTAAGTGAGCATTCAAATTCACAAAGAAGTTGTATCTTCAGTGTGCACGGCTTGGCAATATTCAATTTTACTCCAGTGAGAAAAAGCTTGTTCAAGCTTATTGTTGTATCGTTCTAAAACAAGATTATGAATCGATTGATAATTAGCAGATGTAACTGTAATGTCGTCAATCAATTCCAGTGCCGCACCACTCAAAATCGATATCAAGTAATTGAATTTTTCTACGTTAGAAATTGAAGGATTGGCATGAACAGAGGACACAAANTTGTGACGCAGGTAAATTATTTATGTCGATGTTGTCCTCCTCTCCAGAATCTTCATCGGTGATATTGCCACAAGCATTATTGGGTGGGAACAGGATTAGTGTATCTGCTTGCAAGTCATCATCTTCTATCATTGCCAAAGCTTCATGCAGAGAAAATCCCCTAAAAAATCATAATGGTATAGTATGTTCCCATTGTCCTAAATATAGGTCACATATATTCACATGCGTAGAACAAAAATACTAAGATGACATGATTATTCAACTGTATGTTGGATATTAGATATACCTTCCAACTAAGTGAAAATGAGAAAATTATTATTTTACATTCATCCAAAATCTGAAAATGATGACTCACCTTACGAAGTTTACACCGTACTCAGCCATTTCGAGAATTCCACAAATTATAATTTCTTCCCACTTTCAATTATTAGTCTTCTTACTAATATTTTAACGTCATGCACGGAAGGCAACAGTTCACTAACGGGAGGACAACAATACTAGATCGTTTTATTCCAAGTTCAGACAAGATTTGACGAGTTTGAGGTGTACTACATGTAGGACATTGGGCATATCTGGGGTAATGTCGTCAATCAATTCCAGTGCCGCACCACTCAAAATCGATATCAAGTAATTGAATTTTTCTACGTTAGAAATTGAAGGATTGGCATGAACAGATGACACAAACATTTTATGAAACGTTTGAAGTTCTGTCATGTCACGAGAAAATGTTTCAACTTCAATTTTGGCTAACAATGAGCGTCATTGTAATGAATCAAAGTAATATTTGAGGTAGAAGGAAGTATGACTTCTTGTTGTTCTTCGGTAGAAGGTTCAAACAATTCACAACAAATAGTTTTCACTTCATCACATTTCCTAGTGAATTCGTCAAATATTTTATATTTCGTAATTGACTCATACGCTTCATTGGCAATCAACGTAATAAGCATATTGTGATTGAAGTGGTTATATTTTTATGAGTGAATAATTTTTGGGAAAGGAAGTTTTTGGCTTTCTACTACTCCATCTGATACAAAAAAAAGGGATGAGAGAATCTTTCAAAGAGAGGAAGGAAGTAATCAATTTGAAAATGAGTAACTCTATACATGGATGTGTAGATCATGCAAAGAAGTAACTTTCGGACACAAACTGAAAGAAAGTTCTCCTGAAACAGCTACTTTCATATAAACATTGAATTACACGAAAAAAAACCTTTTCCAGCTTCCGAAAGCTCACTTTGAACTTATTTTCATCACCACCAACATTTTTTTAACAAGTCTTCAATCGATTCGAAATGACAGAGCAATAGAACGCAATGCTGTTACATTACGAATAATTCCTTCCTTTCCTGGATTAACATCAGTAATAATAGCTAATGGCCAATGAAGCGGTGGCGAATTATCATTTTTCAAAATAACGGTTGTCCCGACCTTTATATTGGGACATTTTGTATTCCATTTCTCTCTCACTTGTAAAGTAGTGAGATACTCTAAATGCCAACGCTTCCAATAATCTTGAACCATCCTATCTATTAGCTGGAACCGATCAATTCTGTTTATATTAATATCTATCAAATTATCTGCAGGTAAACCTTTCAATGGAATTATTGTCAAAAAATGCGAAGGAGTCAATGCCTCAGGTGCTGATGGGTCCGCTGATAAACTACAAAGAGGACGAGAATTCAATAACGCTTCAACTTGTATCAACAAAGTGTTGAATTCCTCAAAAGTTAAAAGTTGCGTGCCTATCACTCTGAAGATATGAGTTTTCGCACATTTAACATGGCTTTCCCACAATCCACCCATGTGTGGAGCCGCCGGAGTATTGAGCTTCCACTCAATACCGTTTATAGCTAACTCTGTTTGAAACGCTTTTTTGTACCGCGCGGAATTGACGAACTCATTAATTTCTCGAAGAACAGTCTTCGCGCCCACGAAATTTGTACCCTGATCAGAATAAATAACACTGCAAGGTCCTCTCCGAGATAAAAATCGTTTCAAAGCCTGCAAAAAACTNATCCGCAAAAGCTACTAACATTACTGGAGATGTTCTCAAGGTTCCCATGTAACGCGAAAACTGAATCTCCCCAAGTACCGACCATTCATCTTTCAGATTCAACCACTTCTGGGAAACTTCATAGGGGACTATGTCATCCCAACCTATTTTGAGTTTCCATAGCTCCTTTATCAGAAGTTTCAAATACAAAATGAATGGTGCCAACAATCGTACTGGATCATAACACCGCGCCACTGTGGACAAGATTAAACGTTTAGTACAGCTAGATCCTGGAACTGGAAACTTAAACCTAAAACTATCCATTTCAGGATTCCAGAACATTCCTAATATTTTTGTTTCTGTCTTGAAAAGCACAGGCTTTAATAACCTCTTTTCTAAGGGATATTCTCCAACAATTCCAACGAACTCGAAGACCACTTTGTCAAATCGAACTTTCCTTCTGCAAACATTGCTACCGATTCTGAATATAGCCGCTGAGCTTCATCTTCCGAAGATACACTACACACCAAATCATCCATGTATAGATCCGTCGATATCACTTCTGCTGCTAATGGATATTTATAACCTTTCTCTTTTATCAACTGTTTGACTGTACGTAGAGCCAAGTAAGGACTTGTCTTGACACCAAATGCCAACCGATTGAACTCGTACACTTGAACTGGTTCATCTGGACTGAAACGCCAAAGAAGTCTCTGAAATCGCCAATGATAATTCACTAGTTTGATCTGATGGTACATTCTACGAATGTCTGCAGTGACCGCAATTCTAAAAAGTTTAAAATTCAACAAAAAAGAAAAAATATCCGTCTGCAATTTCGGGCCCCCGTATTGAATATCATTCAAAGAAATATCACTATCGGAGGATAGTAGGAGATTTGAGCCGGTTCTAAGCCTCCCCCCACCACTATGACGTCACGTGGGGTGGATGACCTAGACCGACTCATGTGACCTTGAGAAATATGTCTGGTGCATGCCACCTTGAAAAATATGTATGGTGCATATGACCTTGAAAAATATGTCTGGTGCATAGGTGGTATGTGTACATCACAGATTACAGCAGGTTCTGGGCCTTCCTCCACCACTATGACGTATTAATTGCTTTTTT